TCATGTAGAAGCATGAAAATTGATGAATGTCCCCCCTGTTCCATCACACACACACACACATACACACACACACACTCATTTGGGGAAGTTATCTATTTTGCTTAATACTAGAAACCTGGAGGTGGGGGGGGGGGTGTAATTCCTATCTCTGAGACTATCCCCGTTTCCCAATAAATGGATTCTTTTCCTGAAGTCAACACTTCTCCCTGATGCCACGTTGCTAAGGAAAACAACTGTCTCTCTTACCCACCTACCCTCTGCCCCTGGAATGGCTCCAAAGACCATCAGCAGCACGCAACACTGATGTAAGCAAGAAAAATAAATTCTCAGAAGCCCTTAGGTTCCAATGCTATATTGAGGCATTTCACCCACTGCTGTAGTGTGGACATTTTTTAGGCTACAGAAGGGTAGCTATTTTGTCTCTAAATACTATATCCATTCTAAGCCTTGTGCAAGGACAGTAAAAAAAGAAAGGCAGTGCTACCAGTTGAAAGTCCATCTTATTGGTGCCCAGCTACCACCGACTGCTCTAATCGGGATCACAACAGAGGGTCCTGGACAGAGCTAGAGAAGGATACAGAAGAAAATTCTAACACACACAAAAAAGACCAGATTTACTGGCCTGACAGAGACTGGAAAAACCTCGAGAGTATGGCCCCTGGACACCCTTTTAGCTCAGTGGTGAAGTCACTCCCAAGGTTCACCGTTCAGCCAGGGATTGCACGGCCCCATAAAACAAAATGGGACTAATGAGGCACAGTAGTCCAGGGACAAGGACTAGAAAGCAGAAGGGGACAGGGAAGCTGGTAGGGAACCCAAGGTTGAGTAAGGACAGTGGTGACATGTAGTGGGGTTCTTAACCACTGTCATAGGGCAATATGTGTACTAACTGCTTAATGAGAAACTATTTTGTTCTGTAAACCTTCATCTAAAGTGAGAATAGCAGCACAACTAGAAGAACATAATCGACATCAATTGTACATGTAGAAATTTTTGAAATGGTGTATCTTTGTCTATGCATATTTTCACCAAAAAAAGGTCCTCCAAGGCCAAGAAGGGAGCATGTTGACATGTCGAGGGGTTGTTAACCAATGTCATAAAACAATATGTGTACTGACTATTTAATCAGAAAATACTTGTTCTGTAAACCTTCACCTAAAGTACAATAAAAAAAAAAATTAAAAAAAAAAAAAAGAAAGTTCATCTTATACTGAAGGACTTTAACACTGATTTTTAGAACAGAAGTCAATGTTAAGTTTTTGCCTGCCCTATATAACTATCTTTCATCACACAGTTGACCACACGTTTGCAGAATCAGGAGCAGCCACAGAAAAGGGCCCTTATTACCCATCAGTCCCTGGTCAATCTCTGTCCATGACAGTAAGACCTGCTCTACTTGCCTCCCAAGGTCCCTAGGTGGTGCAAAACATTAAGCACTCAACTACCAGCCAAAAGGCTGGCAGTTGGAACCTACTCAGAGGCGCCTCCAAGTACACGCCCGGGGATCTGTTTCTGAAAGGTCACAGCCTTGAAAACCTTATGAAGCACAGTCTACTCTGTAACATGGGCAACTAAACAACAACAACTTGCTTCCCAGGAAAGTGGCAAAGAGTAAATGAGATGATTACACAAAGGCCCTGCTCATGCAGGACGTGCTGTCATTACCACCAGGTGCACTGCCAATAAAAAGGCCAGAGCGGGGTGCATGAGCCTCATCACCACCCTAGGGTTCACATCTGACCATTGCCCCAGGCCAGAACATCACAGACCAACATCCAAAAGGCCCTAGAGAGACTCTTAATTCAGTGGAAACATATTAGAGGAAGGATTAGGTACAGAGCTGAGGATTGTTCTGAGCTGAGGTGGAGTGATTAATTAGCGCTCTGGGGACAACCTGTTCTCTCCAGGAGAAGAAACCCACTGGCTGAGAAGAAAGCTTCCCTTCAGAAGGCCATGGTGAACACACCCTGAAGGGCAACCACAGGAAGTATACTTCTGATCACAGCCCTCGCCATTCCCCACAAAACAACATCCACATCCACTGAGAAGCGCTTGGGGAGCTGCGAGTGGGCCAGCGCTGGGAAAGAAGAAAGGACAAGGGAAGAAATCTAGAGGGTTTTTCTGGACAGAGGTTTGGTTGGGGGAGTCGGCAGAGAAGGGGCTAGAATATAATTTATAACAATGTACAATCCCAAATAGCGAACAAAAGGCAAAGCTCTTTGTAGCTAGCAAGCAGCCATGTCCTAGAGTAAGAGTTGAAGTTGCACTGAAAAAAAACATATTAGGGTATGCACAATTCAGTACTTATTCATCTCGCCCAGGAATGCTCCCAGAAACCAAAAAAAAAAAAAAAAGTCACCGTCAAATCAATTCCAACCCATGACAACCTCATGTGTGCACAGTAGAACCTCACTGCACAGGGTTTTCAAAGCTGTGACCTTTCAGAAGCAGACTGCCAAGTCTTTATTCTGAGGCACCTTTGGACAGGTTAGAACTGTCAACCTTTTGGTTAGTAGTCGAGCACTTAACTGATTGCACCACCCAGGGACTCAGCACCCCAAGTTGCAGAGCTAATACAAAGCGAGTTGAGTGGTGGCAATCACAGAGCTGATAGGAGAGGAGCAACCACAGACTTCATGATCACAAAGGATGGAATGCTTACCAGAGAGGTTTAGAGCACAAGCCCTGGCAAGGGAGTCGTACTGAGGGAATTTTACGGCCCCTTCTAATGTGGAGAATATGGCTGCTGAAATCCAGAAAGCATTAAAAAGAGAGTGTAGCCACTCTGGGGCTTAAGGGAAGTGCCATCAGATCACAACTGATTAAGCACCTTGAGGAGAACAATTAGTCTTTGCCCTTGTGGGCCAGTATATATATATATATAGTACTCTATCTAAATCGACGAGCTGAATCGTTAACTTTGGTAAATAATGGACACAAAACTGAGAAGTACGGCAAAACTCAGGACTCTGTAATCTAAAGAAATAAGGATTAGAAATGTCCCACCTTCTCTAGGGCAGGAATCCCTTTTATGACATACCATCTAGCTTTTGCTTGAACATTTCCATGGCGGGGACAGTTCATCACTTTGCAAGGCCTGTTCCCTTTTGGCACAGCTCTAATTACTAAAAAGTTCTTCCTTATCCTGAGTGGAAACCCTTCTCACTGTAATTTCTACCCCTCTAGTTCTAGCTCTTAGTCCTTCTGATATTTAAAGAGTGTTGTCATTGTCATAGCCATCCTCTATCCTCTCTTTCTCCAGGCCAAACCCCTTCCCTTCAGCCGACCCTTTTAACGATATAGTCAATCACCCAAATCATTCTTTTCTGAACTAACTTATCAATACCTCCACAGAACTGAGCAAAAGACACCAGGTATGGCCAAACTACTGCAGACGCCAGGGAGACCTTATTCTTTTTTGAACCCATGTACCACATTTCCATTAATAATTCAAAACTTTCATAGATCATTTGGTAATTGTGTCATATTACTGGCTCCTATTTGGCTGGTGAACAAAGACCCCACATTCTTTTTCACATGATAACCTTTCATATTAGGCTCCCTACGGCAATCTTAAGAAATGAATCCTCTCTAATATAAATATACACCATCACATTTCCTTTAAAAACAAAAAATCTTGTTGGTTTCTACCCCATTCTATTATTTGAAATAATTCTGAATCTTGATTCAATCACCCAAAGTATTCTCTATTCCCTCTCATCTGGGTGTCCAACATAAGTTTGATAAATATAGTTAAAAAAACAAACAAAAACAAAACAAAAATCTTTCTACTTTTGTGAAAACAACCCAAGGGTCCATCTACAGATGAACAGATAAACAGAATGTGTCTATCCATACAATGGAATATTACTCAGCCATAAAGAGAAATGAAGTTCTGATACATGCTACGACATGGATGAACCTTGAAAACATGCTGAGTCAAATAAGCCAGACATCAAAGGACAAACACTGTGTGATCCCACTTACATGAAATATCTAGAATAGTCAAATGCACAAAAACAAAGATTAGTGGTTACCAGGGGCTGGGGCCAGAGGAAAAGGGAGAGGTATTGTTTAATGGGTACTGCATTTCTGTTTAGGGTGATGAAAAACATTTCAAAATGGATAATGGTGATGGTTACACAACATGGTGAATGTAATTAGTGTCACTGAGTTGTAGACTTAAAAATGGTTAAAATGGCAAATTTTGTTATATGCATTTTACCATAATAATAAAAAAAAACTTCTACTTTTTTATCCAGCTTGTTGATAAAAATAGTAAACAGAGAGACCAAAAGCAGAACCCTGTGGTATGCTAGTTGAGACCTCCTGTTAGGTAACATAAATACAGTCAACTTTCTTTGGGCACAGAAGTTTAACTTGCTACAACAGATCTATTCTCTCTCTTCTATTCCCTAACTCTTACTGGCATCTCATAGGCACTACCTGAAGCAGATCCTGGCTGGTCCTCATGTCCTGAGTGCTTCACATGTTATATACCAACTCTTCAAACTAGCACTTAGGAGCCTCCATATTCTCACTGCACTCTAGACATGCAACCTCATTCTTCATTAACCTCCAACACATACAATCCACTCCAATCCAGCCAGACTGGTGTTCTGTTGCCACACATGCTTTGCCATGCCATGCAACCTTCCTCAGGCACAAAATACCCTTTCCCCTCCTGATCCATACTGTACCCAACCTTTAAAGTGTGGCTTAAGTTTAAGTCCACTACGCAGTGTTTCCAACAAATCTGGTTTACCACATACCGACTTCTCCCCTTGCTGGACACCAAAAGCCTTTAAAATCAGTCTCTCTCATTTCTTGGGTGAACATTTTATCTTTCCACTCAGTCTTCAAGCCCAGAGGTCTGTCACTCTCCTATTTCTCTTCAGTTTCCCATAGTTGTGGCATGTGGTAGAAGCAGTCTTACCCAAACACTCCACCCACCTCCTCTAGTCTTTGCTTCCATTCTCTTCCTCCCCATTTAATCTTACCTTTCTTCCCGCACTCGGGGACTCAGGAACTTGCTTGAATCATCATCGTGGCTGCTCTGCTGGCTACTCTGCTGGCTGCTGAGGAAAGACACAGATATAAACTGTTAACATTCAGCTTCTTTCTCAACCCTGGTGGAGGTCATGTAGACATCAAATAGACAAAGACATGGAGTTACAACATTTCAAGATACAAGTTCCCCCAAGTAAGCTTATCATAAGAAGCATACAGGTAGTCCCCGACTTACGACAGGGTTCTGTCCTGACAACTCCATTATAAGTTGGTTCTGGAGTAAGTCAAATACCTCATTTTTTTTTTTTTTTTTTTAGTTCTCATTATTATTGCCCTTTATTATCCATATCTTTATAAATCTGATCTTTATTTGTCTTTGGGGGTTGGCAGGAGAATGATAACATCAGCAGATTATGTGCTGCAACATTATGTCTTACATATTACTAACGGTAAGATGTACAAAAAAAAACAGTCATATATGCGGTTTGTCGTAACTAGAGTATGTTGTAAATTGGGGACTACCATTACCGACAAAGGACATGAGAGATGACACAAAGTTGGTGAAGATCCCATCCCCTACACCTAAGGGCTGTCCACTGCTAGTGAGACAGAAGAGGAAGAGCCTGATCCCATTACCCGTTCTTCCCTGGCTCTAACTCAATGAGCACATGTCTCCTGTCTTCTCTGCACCTGGGCCTCTGAATCTGTCTGACAGGATAGTAACCCTATTACTCCCCAACCTCATTCAATCCCAAAGACTCATAAGGAGCAGACCTGAGGGTGGGAAGGGGAAATCCCAGAAAGGGAAAAGATTTGATGGGGTCCCCTGTCCTCTTCTCTGCCTCCAGAGGGGGCTGAGTAGCCTGAGGGGTTGAAGAGGGAATTGAGGGTGGAGTCCTTTCACTCCATAACACCTTTTAGAGTTCACAGTCAGAGTTCTTTAAGAGCCTCACATTTTGGTCATGTGGAATTCAACTACCTTTCGTCTTCGCTCCTGGCTCACTACAGAGAAAGAAAAGCTGTTCAGATACCACGCTGCAGTAACCGACCTACAGCTAACGAACAAACACTTTTATTAACTGCCAACTATGAACGTCTCCAAGCATCTGGTAGTTTAGATCAGGAGTCAGCAAACTATGGCCCGGGGGCCAAATCTGAAGTTGCCTGTTTTTATACAGCCTGTGAGCTAAGAATGATATTTGCATTCTTAAATAGTTGGAAAGAAAAACTGAAAAGACTATTTCGTGATATGCAAACATTATATGAAATTCAAATTTCAGTGTTCATAAATCAAGTTTTATTGGAACATACTGTGCCCATTTATTAACATATTTTCCATGACTGTTTTTGTGCTACAACAGCAGAGTTGAGTAGTTACAACAGAGATCACATGGCCCACAAGGCCAAAACTATTTACTACCTGGCCCTTTACAGAAAAAGTCTGTTCACCTCTGCTTTACACAGACTCTATTAATCATAAATTCCCATTCCATATGATGGAAAAGTTTGGCAATGGATAAGGATAATGTTTGAACAACATGATGAACATAAGTTAATGTCACTGAATTGTACATGTAAAGAATGTTAAAATAGCAAATGTTCCGTGTTATGTATATAACAAAACATTTACCACAATAATTTTTTTTAATCCAATTACCATAAATACCACTATAACCAAGATTTCAGTATAACCAAAATTGATTCCTTACTCTGGTGGACTGTCAATCACAATAAGGTGTATTGCTCTCTATGGTGTATACCCCTTAAACTAGAACCCCAGGGGACTACAAACTCTTTGAACAATCTGTGGAGTAACTGCTTGCTCCAGTGCCTGTACATTCTCAGCCAAAAAACGCACATGATTTTTGTGGTCATACTCGTAACCATGCCCTTATATTCTTCCAGCAAGAAGTGATTGATCTTAGAACTTAGAAGTGATTTACATCAAATTTTCAGACAAACACACACACACAGAGAAACCACAATGGCACCATACACAAAGCCTGCAGTTGCTTGGTGGAACTAAATGTGCACACAATCCCTTCCTTTTTACCACACACAAAGCCCATCACTTCCACTTTGCCAGTTCTAATAGACTTTCCAATTAAAACCTTAGAGCAAAATTTAGCTGACCCATGGGATTTCTTGGAAACCCTGGTGGCATACTGGTTAAGTGCTACGGCTGCTAACCAAAAAGTCGGCAGTTCAAATCCACCAGGCGCTCCTTGGAAACTCTATGTAGCAGCTCTACCCTGTCCTAGACTAGACAGCAATGGTTTTTGGGGTTTTTATGGGATTTCTTACATTAGGACTGACATCAAGCACCCTCTTATATACAACATGGACAATGCATAGATTATTGGGACTCAAATTCCAAAGCACGCAGCTCCAGAGGCGAGCATCACCAGATAAATCCAGTCTATACCACTGGTAGCACATGTGAGAACCAGAGGGAGGAGTGTCTGGAAGCCGAACAGCTCATCAACCCACAATCAGCGCCTCTTTTCCAAGGAAGAGGTAAAACATGACCCCATTTGAGCCAGGATGGGCTTGTCCTTCCTACTCACCCTACTCTTAAAGTTAAGATAATAAAAGATGCTCCCAAGAACTAAATGATCATCTACTATGGTTTCCAAAAAAATAATTCTAAACTGGTGTTATCAAGTTATCCCACTGGATGGCACTGTTGGCTTGCAAACGAGAACCACAACAAAGCAACCCAATCCAGGGCTTCAGGAACCAGAACTAGGACCCACTTCTGACTCCTCCTTCTGGTCTTCCTATTGCTTAGAAAACATTTCAGATGGTGGAGATGAAAGCTGTTTTGTCAGTTCTAAATAATTAAATACCAATTTGCATTCTTTCAACAAGTATTTATATAATGCCTTGTACGTGCACATATCCACCACCTGTCAGTTTGCTGTACTATGATGGCTTGCTTGTTGCTATCATGTTGCAAGCTATGACACCGGTGTTTCAATTGCCAGCAGGTTCACCCACGGTGGACAGGTTTCAGTGGAGATTCCAGACTAAGACTAGGAATAAAGGCCTAGTGATCTACTTCTGAAAATTAGCCAATGAAAACCTTATGGATCATAACAGAACACTGTCCGACTCACTTTCTTTGGACACATTATCAGGAGGGATCAACCGCCAGAGGAGGACATTGTGTTTGGTGAAGGGTTTGGCCAACAGGGTAAGAGAGACCCTCGGTGAGATGGATTGGCACAACAGCTGCAACGATGGACTTAAACATGGCAGTGATCGTGAGGATGATGCAGAACTTGGCAACATGCATTCTGTTGTATATGAGGTCGCCATGAGAGTTGACAGGAGCTATCTATCCATCACATCTATGTACACATATGCCATCAATAACCAGCGACAACGCAATGGTTAAAAGCTTAGACTCTGGAGCACGCTGCCTGAGTTTGAATCCAAGCTCCCCCAATTACTACTTATATGACCCAGAGCGAGTTATTTACCGTCACTTTCCTCACCTACAAAATGACAGTTCTTACCTTAATGACAGTTCTTATCTTGTAAGGCCATTGTGAGAGTTAACATATGTGACACATGGAGAACTGCCTTGCACATATTAAATGCTATATAAATGCTAGCAGCTATCATTATTATATGGAAAGCATGGTTGTGTGTGTTATGGAAAATAAAACATAAATCAGACAAGGAGCCTGTTCTCAAGGTGTTTACAATCTGGATAGGGAGACTCAATACAATTAACTACATTTAAAAAGTAAATAATGATAACTCTTAGAAGTACATATTAAATGCTCTAAGAACCCAGAATAGAGGAAGGCCACTTCTTTCTGGGGCCAGTAAGAGAAGAATGTCTCAACAACAAGGTTTTTGCACTGACACTTGAAATTCAGATAGATGGAGGATGGCAGAAATGGAAAGAAAAGGCACTCTAGTTCAGCTTCAATTAACAAACATTTATTGTGTTCCAGGCACGGTGCTAAGAGATGAGGATGTAAAGACTGTTGAGACGTGGTCCCTCCCAGAAAGTCCCAGTCTAGGAGGCACAAGTATTCACTGTGGACTGTGAAGCATCAACACTAGAAAGATGGACAAGGTGGAGGTACAGACACCTCTGCTGCGGGGTGTTTGAGGGAAGACTCAAGAGAGCTGAAGCTGAGCCAGAACTGCAGATAAATCCACGATGGCAACAGCCACGGGGTGCACGGGGATCCTTCCTTCTGCAAGTGTCGTGGGACGCTGTCTGCAGCAAGGGTCTGCACGGCAGGGGCCGGAGGTAGCCGGGTACGTGGCGTGGGAGCACGCGCTGAAGGGCAGCCAGGGACCCTCGGGTCCACCCCCTCCAGTGGGGCCGGTTCTCCCTCTCCGTTTTATAAACTTGTTTTTAAACAGTCTTAAATAAGGCAACCACTCCTCCTTCAATCCCATGAAATAATATTGTGCAGCAGAGTTTGCAGAGATTCAGATATTGCCTCAAACTATCACATGAACCCTCTCAATTCTCGTCTCATATAAGCCTTTTCGAGTGATACAGGCCACCTGGACACCGGGCCGCTCACCCTTCTCCCTAAATGAACCTGCCAGTCTCTGGAGGCCATGAGAAAGCATCCGCCATACTAGAGTGCTTACAGAGGAGTGTGGGATGCCATGGGCCCATTCACCACAGACTAAGCAGGGCGTTGGTGGGCAGGGAGTCCAGTCTGGACCATGCAGCTTAAGGAAACTGAGAAGAACGAGGAGAAGTCCAGCAGAGGGCACTAACGGATGAAAATGTCTGTTAAAAAGCCTGACAAACTCTAAACAAGGATTTGCCACAACTTAGCCTGGGCACCAGATGACTGACAGGTGGCTTAATGCCGCAAGGAAGGGAACTTGAGTCGTAAAGCAACCTTTTCTGTTCCCCTGAGACAGCTGGAGAAGGAATTAAAAAACAACAAACAAACCCATTATGGTTGAATGATTCTTACTCATGGCGGCCCCATGTGTTTCACAGTAGGACTATGCTCCACAGGTTTTTCATGGCTGTGACCTAAGAGAAGCAGATCACCAGGCTTTTCTTCTGAGGCACCTC